TCTGGGTCTCTTCCAGTCAGCTGGGTAGTTTCTTCCAAATTTCCTGTAAAATTTGGACCAGTGAGTGTTTCCGGTATCTCATCAACCTGTTGGAAGTTCAATTCCTAGAGCCTCGTTTGTAGTACTGCTTTAAGTGCCACTTCGACCTTCCACCATTCCCAATGGCTCTTGCTCACATGCTACCTCCTCGAGTGTGTTCTTTTTGGTTTTTCAACTCTAGGTCTTTGAACATTTCATTTTAAGATTTTGCTTCGTCTTCTCGCGCTGCCCTTTGAAGTTTTCTGTTCAGCTCTCTGACTTCATCATGTCTTCCATTTGCCTCCGCTCCGCTATGATGAAGAGCAAGTGTCAGTCTCTCCTGACAGCCACACTCATCTTTTCCATCTTTCCTGTCTCGTGAAAGACCTCTTGCCTTCTTCTGTGTGGTGTTCTTGATGTCACCCACAGCTCATCAGGTCTCCATTACTGTTTAATGCATCAAATATATCCTTGAGATGTTCTTGGCATTCAAGTGGGGCAGATTCAAGGTCGTATTTTGGCTCTCATGGACTTGTTATGATTTTCTTCAGCCTCAACCTGTACTTACATATGAGCAATTAATGGTCTGTTCCTGTCAGCCCGTGGCCTGGTTTTAGCTGCCGATATTGAACTTCTTTCTCCAGCAGCTCGTTCCACAGATGTAGTCAATTTAATTTCTGTGTATTCCGTCTGGAGAAGCCCATGTGTATAATCACTTTGTGTGATCTTGAAAAAAGGTTTTTTAATCATTTTATTGGGGGCTCATACAACTCTTACCACAATCTATCCATCCATCATGTGTCAAGCACATTTGTACATGTATTGCCATATCATTCTCAAAACATTTGTTTTTTACTTGAACCCTTGGTATAAGCTCATTTTCCCCTCCTTCCCTGCCCCCTCCCTCAAAAAAACCTTGATGATTTATAAATTACTATTATTTTGTCATGTTTTATACTGTCCGACATCTCCCTTCACCCACTTTGAAGAAAGGTTTTTGTGATGAAGTCATTGGTCTTCGAATTTATAACATGCCATCTCCAGCTTCATTTCTATCACCAAGGCCATAGTTTCCAACTACTGTCCTTCCTCGGTTTCTAACTTTCTCATTCCAGTTGCCAGTAGTTATCAATGCATCTTGACTGCATATCTGATCAATTTCAGACGAGATGGTCGGATTCTTCAGCTTCATTATTAGCTTTGATGCTCGGTGCATACATTTGAATAGTAGTGGTATTGATTAGATTTCCCTGAATTCTGATAGACACAATCCTATCATAGACAGCATTGTACTTCAAGATAGATCTTGAAATGCACTTTTTGACAGTGAATACAAGCCATTCCTCTTTTTATTCCAGAAGAGCAAACCATTGTTTTCTAAATAGCCAATACTGGTCTACCTCAACTCACTGATGCTTAGAATGTCCATTTTTGTGTGTTCCATTTCCTTTCAAAACCGCAAGTTTCCTACATTCGTACTCTGTACATTCCAAGTTCTGATTCTTGATGTTTGCAGCAGTTCCTTCTCATTTTGAGTTGTGCCCCGTCAACAAACGATAGCTCCAATAACTTACTCCACCCACGTCAGTATGGTCAACTCCTCTCTGACAAGCGGCCACATTTCCACAGCTTCCCCTTCTGAGGGGCTCATCTTCTGGCACTCTGGCAGTGTGCTGCCTTTTATGAGGTCTTCAGTGTCTGACCAAGTTTTGATTCTGTCCTTGAGTTTTCAGTGGCTAATTCCTCAGTAGACGGCACACCCTTCTTCATAGTCTGTTCTCAGCCTGGAAGCTCCACTGAACCCTGTTCACTGGGGTGACCCTGCTGGCATTTGAAATACTAGTGACATAGCTTCTAGCATCACAGCCACACAGGCCACAGTGTGACAAACAAGATTGACCATTGAGTAATAATTGTTGGATCTAGGTAACTAGTTGTATTGTGTAGGATTATACATTTTCTCTGGCAGACAGGTGTGTGAGGCAGTATCAGATCCTGGATGACCCGCTTGCAAGCTCTGCCCGTGGGGGTGGGGTGTCTGGGTAAGTAGGTAACAGGCTTCCACCAGAGACTGAAAAAGTATGTTCCAGATCAATTTTATATTTGGGAAACGAGAGGAAAAAAAATCTTGTGATGATATAAATTACAGAATGGTACATTTAACAAAATCTTGGCAGGAGGGGCCTGGTTTGAAGAGTCTGAGAAACACTTTTGTTCAGGCTTTGTTTACTTATGGTTAACACAAATATTTTTCTTATCGCTAAACCATCTTCAAAACAGCTTTAATAACTGGGATGTTTGTGTCTTCCCCGGGATGGTTCTCTTATCACTGTCTCTTCTGGATCCCTCACTCACTGACTGCCTCAAAAAAGAACAATGAAGGCCGTTTGCCAGTTTGCTGAGTTCTGAGAGCACTGTAGTGGGTAGACTGGCACCAACCCAGCCTCCATGCAAACATCTAAACCATAAGAACACTTTTCCCTGCCCCAAAAAATAATTCCAAAATGTAATCATGACTCTCAACTTTTCTGAAACTCCCCTTGGTTTTCTGGTCTAGAGAATGGGTCTGCCCCTTGCACAAACCTCCTTCTGTGTTGCCTTTCAAATCCCTGCTGGCTCAGATGTAGTGTTCTGTGCTATGGGCTTAGCAGAGGGAGCCCCAGCCAGTCCCTACCGTTGTCCAGAAGCAACATGGGCTATGCAGCTTTTGGACTGTGCCACTTATGTGCTGTGACCTTGGGCACAGAACCTGGCCACCCTGTTCAACTTCCCACTTAGCTAAATGGCCTGTCCTAACAGTGCCCAGGCATCACAGGATTGTGGCAAAGGTTGAATGAGCTAGTGTGTGTGTATTTAGAATAATACCTATCATCTAAGAAGGCCTTACATACAAAGTTTATTGGAACTTAGGTTCTGGTTGGGGAGCCAGATGATAGCATGAAGGTATGAAAATCTAAGGGAGGGGGAGGAGGAGGAGAAAGGGGGACAGGAGGGGAGAGGGTGAGAATGCCAAAGGTGGGGGAGAGAGAGAAAAGGCAGGCAGAGAAGAAGTCGTGAAGGGAGGGGGAAATCAGAGGAAGGGGAGGTGAGAGAAAGCCTTCTGTGCCCAACCTGATAAAGAGAGTAGCTCAAGTCAAGGCTGTGCTTAACCAAATCTGCGCAGCTGAGGTCCATGGAGGAGTCCCGGGCGTGGCTCCCAGGTTTTTAAAAATAGGAAAGCTTGGCCTTCGAATTCACTGAGGCTTCTCGGAAGAGAGGCCCTCTAGACTCACAGCCACTGAAAACCCTCAGGGGAAGGCAGGTGTGCTCTGAGACACCTGAGGTCACACTGGTTGGAAGCGGGTGGAGGGAGGTGTGGGTGTGTGTGGGTGTGTGTGTAAAACAAGTACATAAATGCTGGTGAGAAGGG